CATTCCTGGTTGTGGCTATCAGACCTTCAGAAACTAACTCACCTCTGCAGGTGCCTGCATGCTAGCTTAGGTGTGCAAATCTGCTACTCTCAGGTCTTAGAAATAGTACAGCATCAAATGCTAAACTGACCTTGGATGACGAAATATTTCTATACTCGGTCTCCTTTTTCCCCTGCCAGATGTGCTTCTGAGATGTTCATGCCCAGCTATCTTGCTGTGTTGCGGTGGGTTGGGATTACATGTGACGGTGTAATTAAAGATATTGTAACAGCCTAGGAGCAGGGTGAGGTTGGGGAATATAACAGGAACCAGCTATTCTTAGTTTCCAACAGAATATTGCATTTCTATGGGATTCATGAATCTAAAACCAGGACAAGACCATGGAAACTTTCACCTAAATCTCTTAAAAATACTTTAAAAGTTAACCTGTAGGTTCGCAGGACTTTCCATCCTCATGAAGTCTATAGCCAGCAGCGCAGGTACACACAACTTTATGCGGCGGGTCATGCCTGCAAAAGTGCTTGCAGCCTCCATTTTTAATAGCACAAGTGAAGTCTGAAATGAATTAAAATGAAACAGTGAAAGCTCATTTGAAATACAACTAGTTAGATAGTTGTTGGGACTTGGGCCTTTGGACTCAGCCTATAATCCACTCGAGTTGTTCCAGACTATAGAAAATGGATTGTTGTTTGCAAGGAGAGCATCCTCCTTCCCACTCACATCCCTGCTCATAATGAAGGAGCACCAAGCACCTCTCACAGAAGGCAGGTTGAGAAACAGCCCTGTGAGAAGTCTCGCTGAGCCCTGACACAGCCTCCTGCCTCCAACAACCATGTGCTGTCTCAAATTTGGCAGCCTGGCCATAAAGGACTCCAGCAAATATTTGATTATGAGCCACGTGATTTCCCCACCATTGTGCTGTTTTCCTCCCCTCTGGGCTTACGGCAATGCAGCTCCTGTGCAGATGCCAGCAGAGAATGCCATGTGTCAAATGGGAGCAAACCCTGAACCCAAGAAGGGCTTTGTCCTGGGATTATTGCTGGCCTCCAAAATCAAAACCTCAAGCAAAACCATATGTTCTTCCTGACAAACCAATAAATCATCACAGCCTGATGTGGAAGACACT